TATTCTAACCCCTTAAACTAACCCCTTATTCTATCCCCTTATTCTAACCCCTTAATCTAAATCCTTACTCTATCCCCTTATTCTAACCCTTATGTTAATCCCTTATTCTAACCCCTTAACCTATCCACTTATTCTAACCCCTTATTCTAAATTCTTATTCTAACCCCTTAATCTAAATCCTTATTCTATCCCCTTATTCTAACCCCTTACTCTATCCTCTTATTCTAACCGCTTAATCCATCCCCTTATGCTAATCCCTTATTCTAACCCCTTATGTTAATCCCTTATTCTAACCCCTTAAACTAACCCCTTATTCTAATCCCTTAACCTATCCACTTATTCTAACCCCTTATTCTAAATCCTTATTCTAACCCCTTAATCTAAATCCTTATTCTATCCCCTTATTCTATCCCCTTATTCTAACCCCTTATTCTATCCTCTTATTCTAACCGCTTAATCCATCCCCTTATGTTAATCCCTTATTCTAACCCCTTAAACTAACCCCTTATTCTAATCCCTTATTCTAACCCCTTAATCTAAATCCTTACTCTATCCCCTTATTCTAACCCTTATGTTAATCCGTTATTCTAACCCCTTAACCTATCCACTTATTCTAATCCCTTATTCTATCCTCTTATTCTAATCCCTTATTCTAACCCCTTAATCTAGATCCTTATTATATCCTCTTATTCTAACCGTGTAATCTAAATCCTTATTCTAACCCCTTAATCTATCCCCTTATTCTAATCTCTTATTTCATTGCTTATTCTAACCTCTTCATCTGAGGCTTCACTCTACTCTGTTGTTCTAATTTCTAACCCAAGTCGTTAACCTATATCTATCCCCTTATTCTAACCGCTAATCTAACTTCTTCATCGATATCAAGGGGAAACAAACTGATTTCTAATGCCAGAAATCAATTTGAAATTAACAGAAATTAATAGAGATCATTGCTATTGTATGTATATCTCAGCTTGTCAGAATTTTGATATCCATAATAGCGGTAAGAAATCACTGTTACCTGAGAAGGAAAAATTTGTGAGGTTGATTTTTTCGTTAGGGCAAGAGTATTTTCCGAAAATGATGAGTTTCGTATAAAGTTTGATCGAAAGCTATCGGAGTCCAGCAATCCAAATCTATAAGTGATTTTGAAAAATTTTCGAGTTTCGATTTTTTTGTCAGGGTGAAGCAATTTCTCATAGTTTTGCCAGCTCTTTGGGAATATCCGCATTTCTGCAAAATAGGCCTTCAGTGGCCGAAAAAACCAAGCTGATAAATTTTGAAAAGCGAGTCACAGATTCGAATTCCTGGACCCCCATGACCTTTGGCCAAACTTTATAGAAAATCGTTATTTTTTGAAAATAGCCTTATCCTAACAAAAGAATGAAACTCACAAATTTTGTAAAACGACTTATAGATTCGAATTCCTGGACCTCGATAACCTTTGATCAAACTTTATAGAAAATCGTTATTTTTTGAAAATAGCCTTATCCTAACAAAAAAATGAAACTCACAAACTTTTCGTTACCGGTTATTTGGCAACGGAACGGTAGCAGACTTCCTCTAACTCGAAATCGTCAGAAATCACTAGAAATCAAGAAATCGGAAATCAGTTTGTTCCTCTTTGATCTGTATCTGTCCCCTTATTCTACTTTCTTGTTCTACCCCTTTATTCTAACCTCTAATATAACTCCTTAATCTATATCTATCCCTAAATGTATCGTGCTAATCTAAGTCCTTTATCTATGTGTATCCCCTTATTCTAACTCGTTGTTGTAATGTCTTATTCCGTGGTCTTATTCTAACTCTTTAATGTATATCTGTCCGCTTATTGTAACCCTTAATCTAACTTCTTAACGTTGATCTGAATTTCATATTGGTGAACATGTGTCCATAGTATAACGAGGGAAGAAAAACCTAAGTTCGGCACGAAATCGCTTGACTACGATGCCTTTAGAGGGCATATAGTGACCATCCAATTTAGCGCGACTCCTCGATTTTCACAGTAATATGTGTCATAATACATCCAAATTTTAGGCTATTTGAAATATAAAAACGAATTAGAATTCTTTTGGGAACAAGGCCTTCTTTTACACTTCTCAGATTTCTTATGTTTTACAAAGCAACTTCACACAAATTAAGTAAGGTTTATGTCATGCATATCGAGCACCGCTTTACCTGAAAATCACACGATAGAACATGAGAATAAAAAAGATCATATTGGAATGCTAATCGGGTTTTGCATACTACTTAATGGGTTTCCGAAACTTTTTCTCGGAAACTCAAAGGTTTTCGCAACATTCGGAAACCCTAAGGGGTTTTCCAGTTATGTTCGGAAACCTTGCTAGATTTCTGGAAAACGCTTCGACCGTTTCCGATGCTCGGAAACCCAAAAGGGTTTTCGATAAAAAAATATCGAAAACCCAAAGGAATGCGAGGATACGCAATGGGTATCCGAAAAGGTTTTCGAAGCAAAAGCGGTTTCCGAGAATACGGTTGAGGGTTTCCGAATCCGCTCTCTCCAAAATCCATTGGTTTCCGGATGCTCGGAAACCCTCAAGGTATTATCAGAAACTCAACATAAGTTCGGAAACCTTTTCGCAAACCTTTTTAGGTTTCCGAAAGGGTTTCTGAAGGGGCATCGGTTTCCGAGGAAACCTTTTTTTTTTAGAGTGTTTTAAGACTGAGTTTCGAAGGTTTTATAAGAACGTTTATGTTAATTATCAACCCGTTTCAGGGGTTTATGAAAGTGCAACGTGTCGCAATCCCTTTAAGGATTTATGAATCTTATCAACCCTTCAATAAACCATCCAGAAAGAATATTTAACGTTAATAAACTCCGTATTAAACCCTTTTTAGAGGGTTTATAACAGGGTTTATGACTCGTTGATAAACGGTTGAAAAGGGTTTGCTACACGTTGCACTTTCATAAACCCTTTTTTCGTTTTTTATTCTACGATTTTTTTTTACAGTGTACCAAAGAGTTACATTTATGATAGTTTCAAGCTTCGAAAATTTGTGACTACTATTATTCAAAAGACAATAACATATAATATTGTCAAAAGAATACTACACTGTAAACTGGAAAATAAGTTATAGAGTTTAATCGAGGATATTCTAAGAATGCCTATATGAATTCGCCGATGAATTTTTAAATTCTTGAAAATAAGATATTCCAAGCATTAAAAATATGAATTTTGATTTTCTAATTAGAAAATCGAGAGTGAATTCATATAGGCATTCCTAGAATTTCGGATTCGATATAGCAATTCGAGTATTTCTTAAAACCTGGAAAATCGAATTGGATTTTCATATCATAATGAAGTATGTTTTATTTTTCTATTTCATATTAATAATATATCATTTATAATTAATGTATCTAAATAAGAAATAAACATTGTTAATCATTAATGCATCAAAACAATTAATAAATATCATTGAACATTAATGCATCAAATAATAAATAAATATCGTTGTAACTAATGCATCAAAATAAATAAACATCATTGATCATTAATGCATCAAAATAATCAGTAAATATCATTGGTCATTAATGCATCTAAATAATAGAAAAATATCATTGATAACTAATGCATCAAAATAATAACTAAAAATCATTAATCATTAATGCATCAAAATAATAAATATCATCTAACATTAGTGCATAAGAACAATAAATAAAATCAAATCATAGTATCCTATTCAAATTTAAAACTTGAATAATAACTCTAAATAAAAAAATATAACTTATCTACTCACTACGGCTGTCGAAGAAAATAATGAATGCACAACACTATCGGCTGACTTATATACATGAATGAACAATGACTCTATAGCGGTCATAGTTCAAATGATTTTTCAAAAAGTTGCTTTCATTTTTGACTTTCTCTAGAATTTATATTGATTTTCTAATTCATTTGAAAATCAATTTTTTAGAAAATCAAATTGAATTTCTATATATTGGAAAATCAAGCATTTTCGAATTATTCAAAATTCAACGAATAAACCATAAAACTTTAAAAATGCTTCAGCTTATTTGAGATCGATTTTCCAAGAAGTAGAATTTCAAAAAAAATTACAGTGTACAAGAAAATGATTCCTAATGAAATCTAATTCTAAAGCATAACATAACAATAAATAAGAAGTATAAAACATTATTTATCAATAGAGTTTCGACAATTAAAAATTCAAAGGCTACTAATACATTAACTTCGTTGTATTGTTGTATTCGAACAACTCTGGTATTATTGTTACAATTAGATTTTTTAAAATGTTTTCATTTTCGAGTGCAAACATATAAAACAAATGTAAACACGAACGATTGAAAATATACAATTGCTGATAAGTATAAATTATGATCAAAATAAAAAGAAGGTTTGTTTTCATAATATCATAATCATTATTTATCGCACATTGTTATTTTTTTTCTCGTTATTGAGTATGTAGGTATAGGTAAACGATAAAAGAGAGACGAAACGAAACAAAGAGAAAATTAACTAAGAGAACAAAAATGACCATGTATCATATGGGTTATCGATGATAATGACTTGCTAAAAATCTTATGGCTTATATCGGTATAAAACAGAAATGGAATATGCCTATCGTTAGTTCAGTCATAGATTGGGGTTTATACAGATTTTCACTATGAAGCGCGACGGGATGATTGTATTTATTTTTACCGATCATCAACGAGAGAACAAGTTAAGCAAAAGAAAAGAGAAATACACGATGAATAAAAAAAAAGACGTATGTTAAAATTATTTTTCACGATGTGGTTGAGCGCACACAATAAAACGAATATTTCAAGTATATAAACGGCAGATTTTTGCTTCAATCTAAGCACAAAACAACAACGACAATAACTTTGTCTCTCCATTTGTCAGCAAGTAAAGGTATGTAGATATGAAACTGTAGATTCTTTAGCTCTTTTTTTTCAATAATAATTATAGAACAAAATTCTTTAATTATATTTGTAGATATTGTTTTTGTCCTTCCAAAATATGGCGACGTTCAAAGCGTTCAAGGATCAGATTTATAAAGAATTGAAGAAGCAACACAATTCATCAAATTTATTTGTCGATAAAGAGTTTCCAACTACTATTAAATCACTCGCCAAGGTCGAAGATCTAAACCTTGAAACTGTTGTATGGAAAAGACCAAAGGTAAATAACATGATTTGTCATTGAAGCAAATTCTATTATCATTGATTGATGCATTTGTAAAACTCTAGGATATTATTCCAAATCCTCAATTTGTTGTTGGTACTTATGAAAAAGAAGATTTAAATCAAGGAGGAGTCGGAAACTGTTGGTTCATTGCTGGTTGTGGTAAGTTTCTCATATACAAAAGAGCACTTCTTGTCATGCATAGTATTTGCAATTATTTCCAAAGTTCATCTATGTCGAGAAACTAATTATTCATTTTGATGTGAGCATTTAACGTATGTGATTACTGAAGTATTTAGATCAAATTGACTTATTATAGATATCATGAAACATATCAGTATTATTCTTTTCATATTTATCGATATTTTTATTAAGTTAGATAGGCAGTTGCTCTATAAAAAAAAAGATCGGATGCAGACAAAACAGAAAATCTTCATAGTTGACTCACTAGAATAATAATTAAAAATTTAGATCTGAGAAAGAGAAGCAAATTAAGCTGAGAAGACAAAAGAGTTGACGTTGAGTGTTTACATTTGAGAGACTTTTTGATTTATTGTCTGTAAAACTCAGTCATATTAATAATAGATGTTTATGTTGTGCTTCAGCTAATTCATTTATTTACATTGAAAACAATATTCTAGTTCATATATTTGAGTCTTTTTTTATCAGTATACAACTATATACATTAAAAAAGATCGAACTAGTGGAGTTTTTTAATTATTTTGTTGATGTGTTTATTAACATAATAGTCAAAATATTTTTTTGTTTGGGAAGGTTTCAAAGTCATATGCGACTATCCATGGACATTGATAGACTAATCTTACGAGAGAAGGTTCTAAAATTTAGCGCTCGATTTTGAGTTGGATATAAATCTATTTGTAAAGCTTCATGAAACTACAAGAAGTCTTAAAAGATTCGTTCAAATATGTTGTTTTTAACAAATTATGATCATTTGGTTGGATTTGTAACCTCTGGTGAGAACATATACTAACCAATTGTATTACTGAACTTTTCCCAGTACCTTTGTTCATAGGCAGATCTTATGAGCTTTCAAATGTTCTAAGACGATCATATATTAGAAAGAAATCTCAGAAAAATGATGCTCTACAATATTGAATATTTCTAAAAAGAAAGATTAATGTTGCTGAAAGTGTCAACATATTTGAATGCTCATGATATGTCTCTATGGACGACATTGTGAATTGTGATAATGTATCATGACGAAGTCTTTTAGATTTCTTCTTAGTTGATTAAGTTTTAATAAATTTTTTATTAAAAATCAAAAGTACTTACAAGCTTTTCTTTTTATGAAAAGACATCTTACTGATCTCTCTCCTCTGAATAAGAAAAAAAACTATGAGAATACACTTGATTACTAATAAATGTAAATACTAATTTTTAAGGTAATAATAATTCTTAGGATATTCTGTAATTTAATGAAACTATTGCTATAAAAGCGATAAATTTCACATACTATGGGCTATTTAATTTCAGTCTGAATTTATCAAATAAAAATAATACTTGATTTCAAACTGAAACGTGAGTCTAGGAGTGAGGGTGGGGGGTGACTGAGGGTGTGGGTGTTGGTCTGGGACCCACACACACACCCACACCCATGGTGCGGGTGTGGGCGCGCGAGTGAGGGTGAGGGTGTGCTTGCGGTTTTGTGTACTATAGGCTTTAGTCCCCTGCACAAGGGACTAAGCGGGGACTAAGCTTTTTGTGGGGGGGACTAAGGGGGACTTTGCAGGACTAGGGGGGACTAAGGGTTTTTAGTGAGACTACGTAGTATCAAGCGAGAAAAGTTTGATTCGGAAGAAATTGGTGTGGTTTTTTTGATTTTGGAATTCAGTTTGAAATAAAAAAGCCCATAGACTCAAATTTCAATATGTATATATATATATATATGCTGCGAGATACGAAGCCATGTTTAAAGAAAAATGTTTGTTTATCCGCTTATACTGAGTTCGATGCAATAAATTGATAGAGGCACAAATTTTTTTTTATTTAAAAATTATTCTGATATCGATATAACAATACTACAGTCAAAAGATCATCTTTTCTTATCACACGTATCTAATATATTTACTTTTACAATGTTAAATATTTTATTATAATAATTGATTTATTAAATGAATAAAACTTTCTGTTCACTGAGGAACATTATACGATTGTTGTTTTCTTTAAATCTCTAAGTTATTAACACTGATAGTTCCATTTGTTTTTAGCAACAAGTCAATATAGTATTTTTTTTCACATATAAATTTTTTATATTATTATTATATAGGTGCCCTTACATTAAATAAACGTTGTCGTGAGCAAGTAATTCCTGAAAATCAATCGTTCGACGAAAGTGATTATGCCGGTAAAGCAACATCATTGGATGGTCAATACGTATTTTTCTCTACATTGTTTGTAATTCATTTTTAGGTATTTTTCATTTCCGATTTTGGCTCTATGGTGAATGGTACGATGTTGTCATTGATGATCAATTACTATGTAATCAAGATAATGAATTGATTTATTGTTACAATAAGAAAGACAAAAATGAAATGTGGGCTCCATTACTTGAAAAAGCTTATGCAAAGTAGATTTCAAGAGAATAAATTTAGTTCTTGTAATGTATTTTCATCAATTTTTTTAAAGACTTCATGGCTCTTATCAAACATTGGATGGAGGTGATATAAATGAAGCTCTCATTAATATGACAGGAGGGCTTGATGAAACCTTTAATCTATCAAAACTTGATGCAAAAAAAGATAAGCAACCTAATTATAAAGAAACAATCAAGCGAATAATGTATCAAGCATTTGCCAAAAACTCTATGCTTGGTTGTTCTATCGATCCAAGTCCGTCAAAATCAAAAGAAGATTCGTCAGAACCAGAAGAAGAGCTTCCCAGTGGTTTGTTTGCAGGTATAGATTGATTTCTTCGTCTATTCTAGTTGATGATATCTGTTTGTGTAAAATTAAGGACACGCATATATTGTTATTGACACTCAGGATATAACAACAAACGACGATAAAAAGGTCTCACTTGTTAAAATTCGTAATCCTTGGGGAAGTGGTACCGAATGGAATGGTGACTGGTCTGATAAGTGAGTGAAAAACGATGCGTCGTTTCTCTGAATTAATAGTACCATATTTTTGATCGTCTATGTATAGGTCACCAGTATGGGATGACGTTAGTAAAGAAGTAAAAAAGAAGTTAACATATGAAGAGGTTCAAGATGGTGAATTCTGGATGTCATGGGACGATTTTTTTTCTAACTTTCATGAACTTGAGATTTGTCACTGTGGTCCATCATCATTCGAAGCTATAGCAAGGCAACTAGATTCTTCGAAACCAGTTGATCAATCTGAGGTAAGTTTTTCATGATTATTTGTTACTCTAACTAACTTCGCCGCTATATTTTCAACTTCCAGTGTATGTGGATGGAAGAACAATTTTTTAGCGAATGGTCGTTCGAAAATACAGCAGAAGATGAGTCACAAGAAGAAAACGAAGGTACTTGTAAGAAAGAATATAAAAAGCAAACAATAATATGAAATTCTATTAATTTTATTTTTTTATAGAAAAATTGGTGTCAAGTAAGATAAACGTTTTTACTTTTTTTTATTCTATTAGTCTAGCATTATTGTAAAGATCCACAATTCGTTATCAAACTGACTGAAGCTGATAAAGCGACATCTGAAGAAGATGGGAATGAGAAAAATAAATTGTGCACAATGATTATTTCATTGATGGTTAAGTGTGATTCAAGAACGGACATGCAGATGGCAGAAAAAATGTTCTATTCGGGTTTTGATGTTTATCGAGTGAGTAGACATAAAAAAGTACTAATTCATTATGGAACAATGAAAACTTCAATATAATCATCGATATTAAAATAAGAGAATGGTTTGTTTTTTTAAAATACTCTCGTTATTTTTTTGTAAAAACATTATCAATAGAACTTCAAGTTTTAGTTTAAAAAGTATACTGCAATAATTAGATTTAATGTCAAATTTGAAATATGAGCAAGGAATTATTATAAAATTTTGTGAAATATTATTTTATAGGGAACTAAATCACAAATGAAGAAAGCTATAGAGATCAATCTTCGATATATATATTTTCTAATAGAATATAGTAAGACTATCGTATCGAAGATGAATTTCACTCAGTATTTTAATTGAGGATTTCCTTTGACTTGTTTCATCTCTCAAAAAAACCCAATGGAAGTAAATTTGAAACGTTCTCGGAAGAATAAGTGTTATTAGAATATTCAATGAGAAAAATAATAATGAAAACTGACTTTGATGCTTGAAAGCTATTGAAATCTTAATTTTGAAAGTTATTATTCTGAGTTCGATTTTCAGTTGAGACTAATTTTATTTAAAAAAATATTTCTAGAGCTCTCTCTTTATTTATTTTAAAATTTTACTAAAGATGTTTTGTTTGAACACTGAGAAGAACTGTTTTTTACATTATGAAAAAGCTCTTTTAAGTATGATCAAGTGTCGACTTGTCATTTGACATCATCTATCAGTCACTAAATCCAATTTGCTAGAAATGTTTCATGTTCAGCGTTTTATCTAGGTTTATTCACTCCAAGTTAACAAATTCATTTATCAGAAGAGCAGACAAAAAAAATTCTTGAGAGATGAACTATTAAGAAGGTTGTTGAGTCTACTATATTGACGTATTCAAAAGACAACGATATACAAAATATGTAGTCGAATCTGATTGAAATTAAGGACGAAGGAGAGTCAGATAATGGACACAGTCGGATCATCTAATTCTACCACGAAAAATATCGACTTACAGTAATACATCTGTAACTCGACTAATATTTATTGTACAGAACTGATTAATCGAATGAACATTTCTGTGTCAATATGAATGTGATCGATTATATAATACACAATCTTTGAGAATAAGAGATGCGAGAATATGAGCAAGGTTGTTTTATTTTTCACTTTTCCTGGTATTTCCAGTTATGCCACTGGTCTGATTTTTAGTTCCTTGTCCTTTCACTTCTAAGTGGAACAGAATGACTTCTGAAGTAGAATAAAATTTTATGGACAAGATTCAAATGTGAAATATACCCAGAGGAGTACTAATAGAAGTACTTTGGCGAGGCACACTGTATGATTTATGCTTTAGTCATAACTAAGAATGGTGTTGGTCATAAAATCTTGTTCTATTTTGAAAGATATGCCGTTTGATGTAGAAAGAGAATAATTATGAACTAAGAATACTTCCAGTGGTATATTTAAGAATATTACAAAAATTGAAAAAAATCATCTCTCCTCGTAGTTCCGCTTCTCTTATGGAACAAAGATTAATTACTACGAGATAAAAATTGCTCGCAACAGAATTAGATCACACAATTCTAGCACCCTGTTTATTGGAATTACTTCAAAAAATCACATCGAAATATATTTCGGAATATTATATTGATTTGATTTTTCTCAGAGAGTCAAACTTGGTCTCCGAGTATGAGCATGAGGGAATGTCCCATATCACACCCTCCCCCCCTCTATGACTGAATAAAGCATTGTTCACGTTGCCTACAATTTCAAAGACGAGCTTTCTTCACCAACGCGGCACTTTCCTAGATTTGATTCTTGACGTCGATTAAAAATATATTTGATATTTTTATTTGAACTGTGAGAAAAAGAGTTAAATCTTACGTTAATCTTTCAATAAATTTTGTAAGTGATTTTTTTTCATCTAATATAAGAATATTTATTGTGATAAAGTTCTTTTGAAAAACAGTCGCCACATCTGTTCTTTGATACGGCTTGCTATGCACATTTTTTAAATGAAACCTTTCATCGTTTCATAAGAAATATTCTCGACGGTCTTGCGACGGATTCTTCTAGATACACTAACATTGTAATTAGTACAATGTTCGCGAGCGCATTTTTTTACTTATAGTAAAAAACGAATCCGTTTGAACTCCCTATGTCACTTTCTAATCAACAAAATTCATTTCTAATTTCAAGAGTGCTATTATTTTTAACTTATTTATGTTTTGGTAGGTGAAAGATCAAGCTAGTGTTAATAACGATATTCAAAACACGCAATTAAAATTATCTAAAAAAGAATTGAAACAAGTGGCAGCCAGTGAATATGGTAATCGATCCGTTATAACTAAACGATTTCGCTTACCGATAGGAACTTATGTTATTATTCCATCCACAGCCGATGATGATCGGACTGCTGAATTTTTATTGCGAGTATTCACTGAAAAGAAACTTGATCAAACAGCGTAAGTCTATCGTGTCCAATAATCTCATATATACTTTCATTGAACTCCTTAACAAATATATATTTCATCTGTTTTTAGTCACTTAAAAAACAATAAGTCGAACCTGGTAAGAATAGTTTCTTCATTAAATTCTGTTATATTCATTTTTTATATATTACTTTCTTTTAATTTCTTCAGACTAAAGATGAACGTGTGCTTCAAGACAAAAAACCTCGTAAAGTAGATTATGACAAGATCGGAGCAGATGATGATACGTCCGACATAATTATTGAAATAATCGAAACGCCTGATGAAATTGATCAAGCAACAGATGCTGAAGATCCCGACGCACAAAGTGACTCGAATGCAGATGCAAACAATGAGTCAACATAATAAAAATAAAAAATGGTAGTGAGGACGTTACTAACAAGAATTATATTCCACCATAAATTATATTTACCTTTCTGAAATTTTTCTATAACATGCACAATTTTTTGTTGTCTTATATTTTAAGCGAGTTTTGTTCCATTATTTTCGACTAGATTTATTATTTTTTATTTATATCCTATTGACATTTTATTTGCTTATCTATACGAGTAGTGTGCTTAGAATACTGTGTCCGTAAATTTTAATCATTAGTTATTTGCAATTCAATAAACGAAACAAAACTCAATTTTTGATGTATCTAGTGGTTTTGGCAGAATCGGTATCTGTTTAGAATACGATCAGAACTATTGTTTATATTTTGGCACCGACAATGATGAAAAACATGAAAAATCTTTTTCTCTTTTTTTAATTAATGATAACTCGACGATTCGACAGTAATCCAAGGGATGAATTAGCGGAATTCAGGAATCTCGAATTTCAGGATTTCCATCCCTTTTCGGTGGGTTAAAGTATTATTTCAAATTTAGAACACTAAATGCACTGTAAAAAAAAAGAGTTCTACCAAACTTTGAAGATTTCGCAATGGTTTTCGAAACCATTTTAAGTTCCGTGGGATGAAAAAGGTTTCGTAGTCTTCATACTGAACCTTTTTAAGTTCCGAAAACCGACGAAGGTTTCGAAGTTTCAAGACGAAACCTTCCTAGAGTTTCGCGCACTGTGTACTGAACTTTCGGAGGTTTCGTATGTTTCGTACGAAACCGTTGAGAGTTTTGTAGAGCATATAAAGGTTCCGTAGTAGTTCTATGAAACCTTTCATAGTTTCATAAGTGCTCTTATGGTTCCGAAGATGTTGCACGAAACCAGCCGTGGTTTCGTAAAAGATATACCGAACCATTACATCCTTTACAAAGCTACGAATAGTTTCGTACAATTTATACTGAACCTTTTGATGTTTTACGAAACCTCTGATAGTTTCGTGGAGCAGACAAAGGTTCCGTATATCTTATACGGATCTATCAAAAGTTTCGTAAAACATGAGAAGGTTCGGCATGCACTATACGAAACTGTTCATAGTTTCGTAAATGATGTAATGGTTCGGCATATCTTTCACGAAACCATGGCTAGTTTCGTACAACCTTTCCGTAATTATTAGAGCGCTTATGCAACTATGAATGGCTTCGTAGAACTAATATGAAACCTTTAGATGCTCTGCGAAACTGCCAATGGTTTTGTGACATATGTACAAAACCTTCAGATAAATGACGAAGCTTTTAATGGTTTCGTATAAAATATACGAAACTATTGTATGCATTTCGAAACTATCAATGGTTTCGTAAAATGTCTCCGAAACCTTTCCAACATTTACGAAACTATGCATGGTTCCGTAAAGATATGCCGAACCGTTGCATCATTCACGAAACTATCGATGGTTTCGTATCACGTATACGGAACCCTTTAGTTGCTTTACGAAACTATCAATGGTTTCGTAGAATGTGTCCAGAACCAAAATAAAGATTGAAAATCCATCAATAGTTCCGTAAAATTTCGACGGAACCATTTTACTAGATGCGCAACTAAGGATGGTTTCGTATTCTATATACAGAACCTCTAGATGTTCCACGGAACTATCAATGGTTTCGTAGAATGTGTCCGGAACCACAATAAAGATTGCGAATCCATCAATAGTTCCGTAAAAATTTCTATGGAGCCATTTTACTAGATACGGAACTAAGGATGGTTTCGTGTTCTATACTCGGAACTTTTAGATATTCTATGGAACTATCAATGGTTTCACATAATGTATACGGAACTATTTTATCACTTACGGAACTAGCGGTAGTTTCGTACTGTATATACACAATGATTATTGGTTTCGTACAATGTACACGAAACCATTATATCACACTTACAGAATCATCGGAAGTTTTGAATAACAACTACAGAACAGACATTGGATACTTACGGTTAGTACAATACTTAGTAATTTTCGTACTCAGTACGTAGAAATCATAAGTATCAGTACTTTTTTTGAAGTTCAAGTACATGTACTGTGTACTTAAAAATTGTACTTAGTACTTTTACTTAAGTACAATATACTTAAGTAAAATGTACTTAAGTACGCGTACTGAGTACAATGTACTCTAGTACATTGCACTGCAGTACACGTACTACAGTACATTTTTTGTACTAGTACCGGTACTAGTACAAAAAGTGTACTGCAGTACGCGTACTTCAGTACAATGTACTGGAGTATATTGTACTTAAGTAAGAGTACTAACTACAATTTTTAAGTACACAGTACATGTACTTGTACTTGCTGTACTGGTACTGCACAGTGGGGAGCTTTCGCATAAGCAGGCGGACATGCGGTTTTTTTGCTTAGGAATGGCTTTCATTTGACTATAAATGACAGTATATCGCTCCGAAAATCGTTTTTAAGAAAATAATAGGGTTTTTAAGAAAAAAAAATTTTCGAAAAATATGGCTCGGGGGGACCTCAGCCTTTTTTTCGAAAAATCTTTTTTTTTGAAAAATATGTTAAGCTACATATCATTCGATGTAGTTTGATGCGCTGATTCCGAATATCACCTTAGTTTTTCTTCAAAATGTAATATAAATGCCTAAAACTGAATTTTCGGTCATACCAGCTAGTTTCGGCCAAATTTTTGCAAAAAATGACTTCGACAAAAATGGTTCTTTTTATACATGGTCTGATGCAGCTCGACGAGCTGATTCCAAATATCACATTAGTTTTTCTTTAAAACAGGTGTGGGTGTGGGTGTGAGTGTGGGTGTTGGTGTGAGTGTGGATGAATTCACAATACGACCCATACCCACACCCCCACCCACACCCTAGTCGGTTTCGCTTTTGGTTCCAACCGCTTCCACCGATTTCTGTTCTGAAACCGGGATCGGTGCAACCCTAAATATAAGTTTATCGCCAAAGATCTTGTGCAG